TCCTATCTATGGCCTTCAAAAAGTTGACGACTCTACATCCTGAGGATGATGTTGTAACGTCGAAACATGTAGAGTCGTCAACGTTTTTGAAGGCCATAGATAGGACTAAATAAAATGTTTTTAATTGTGCACCAATTTAACGTTGAATATTATTTATTATTTTAACTTTATACACAAGTGCCAAAATACTATAATTACTATGTATGTTATTTGTTTTCTCCACAGTGGAAGTGACATATGGTTCATGTTCTACGAATGTTTCTTATTTGTCCTCTAGCCTAACTTTGCATGATATCACAAGTAACAAAGGCGGGAGTATGCACTCAAGATAGTGTTCTGAGATTTTCGGTGTGTCACCATATTATACCCAAATCTGTAGTACGCGTACACTTAGCTTAAAACCTACCTGTTATAGGTTACAATGTTTAATGTTATTAGTTTTTCGTCTCGGATGGAGTTTTGTTTCGTTATAGGTCAGCAAAATTAGCAGGACGTGAAATATCTGGTGGCAAGTGCCGAATGGCAGCTCCACCAAATGTGATAAGCACGGTTGGCCCAGGTCGAAGAGGAAAACGTTTCTTGCGTTATGCTTAGATAACAGTAGCGTTGCTTTTTCGAGTTTAGCAACACACTCTATCACGGACATAATACGTCCTGACGTCATTTTAGGCTGAGTTCCGTTATAAGTAACACATGTGATGGAGAAGTTTAATCAGTTTCCACAGAACAGGCGTTTCTAAGACAGTTTTACTCTCAGCCCCACGACTTGAGATACGTACGTATTACATGTCATGGGGTTAAAACTAAAAGGCTGGGATAACGCTAACTTATATTATAGTAAAATAGATACACCAAATATCTACTTACGTATTACATGTCGTGGGGTTAAAACCAAAGGGCTGGGATAACGCTAACTAATATTATAGTAAAATAGATACACCAAATATCTACTTACGTATTACATGTTATGGGGTTAAAACTAAAAGGCTGGGATAACGCTAACTAATATTATAGTAAAATAGATACACCAAATATCTACTTACGTATTACATGTCGTGGGGTTAAAAACAAAGGGCTGGGATAACGTTAACTAATATTATAGTAAAATAGATACACCAAATATCTA